GAAGGGTGTCTACTCCAAGACACAGACACAAGTTAAAACTCTTCAATCTGCCCTGGTCCCTCATTAACCTGTCTCAGCCCACAAGTCATCGACATGTGATTTCCTATCAGCAGACAGCGGCACTAACCACACTGCTGGGGAAGGAGGAAGTCGGGCTCCCCTTTGCTGCTCCTACTTCCCCGAGACACCCTGCATGGGTGTAGCACAACCAAAATAGGCCTGGCCCCATTTTCACATGAAGGAAACTGTGAGAGGGTGTTCAATGTAGGGACCCCTGAACTTTGCCCACATGAGGGGGCGGCAGAGATGGTGCCTGCTTTGCATGACACCACGCAGATGACAGCTGCTTTTGCACAAAGGTGCTGCCCCATGAACACTAGGACTCCCACCTGGTTAACTGAAGGCAAGGCCAGGCACACTGGGACATGTAGTGTGCCCTGCCTTCAGCCATCACAGTGGTGCCTGGTGGTGGAAGCAGAGATCTTTGAACCAGAAAGTGTGGCTGCCTGAAGAGGGCCAGAGGGAGGTTCAGGCCTAGCTGCCCATTCTGCCAGCAGATCTTTTTCCTCTCTGCAGTGCACGGGGAACCTGTGGCATCACCCCACCAGGTTTGCCCAGGACCCCAGTGTGAATGGCAAGCCTTTTCCATGCCCTTGCAGGAGGCAGACAGTCCTTCCCCCACCCCTTCTGCAGGACTCTGCAGCTGGGGCCCTCCTGCATCTGCCTAGCTCTGCAAGAGGGAGGGGGGTTTCCCCAGCACGCACTTAACAAAGATTGAGCCTGTTTAGAGTCTGGGGCACAAACAGAAAAGCTCTCTGTGGTCTGTCCAGAGCTAGCCCATCCCCCAGGCTGGAAAACCCCTTTCTGGCTTCCACAGATACCGACTCCATTGGAAGTGCACTGAGGGAAAGACTGTCCGGACTGTTCAGATCCAATGGAAAGGCCACATGTTCCCAGGCAGAGCCTAGTCTGAGCATGCATGGGAGCAGTATAGCAAGGAGTTTTTCCTCCAGCCATACTAACCATTCCCCTGCCAGCCAGACGTATAGCCCCTGCCCTTTTCTGTTCCAGTCTTTGGACTCCAGTTTCTCCTTACCAGTTCTGCTAGCACCTCAATCCTAACCTCTAACTCTTCTGGCTAGTTATCAAGCCTGACCTGTAGCATGTTCTCTTATTTCACTGCCTGGATCCCCCCAGGCCCCAGTCCTGCTGTCTCCTTGCCCCTGACCTGACCTCCCAGCTCTGCCAATATCCCTCTTCCCTAATCTGCTATCCTAGTCCTGACCTTCCTAAACCTATCATCACTCAGCAGTGATTTTTTTAACATGATTAAATGTCCCTTAGGTCTTAAGCAGCAAGCACCAAACTCATTTCACTTATGCTAGCCCAGCCAGCATCCTCAGGCACCACCTCTTTTCTTCAGAAGAGGCAGTCAATTTGGGCTCAACTGCTCTAGTTCGTGTCATTTTATACCTGCACCTTTGAATGTCTAGGTTTCTATGGGAGGTTCCAGCTGAGACTAAGTGTCCACGTGATGATGAGATCTCCACCTCAATTATAAACTTTAATTCAGGGGTTGGACTTGATAACAGAGTCCTTCCCCACTTTCTATCTCCTAGGGACATAAAATCTTAAGCAAGCCCATACGAAACTCCATGGAAGGACAGTGCTGGCAAAGGCACTAGGCCCCCACAGCTCACACCAAGCATCACCAACTGGAGGCATGCTGCTTCATGCCAGGTTCAGTCCTGAATCGACAGAGGCAACTGAGGAAACAGGAACTAGAAGCTAAAAGCCCAGAACTTGTCTTTTTTCAGAATTACAATGGTTACAAGGAAGTGATATTGCCCAATGGAGCCTACTGAGAAATAATGAGATTACGGTTTGAATCCTAGCTTGAGGTCTGCGGCACTGGAGGCAAGCCAGCAAGTCGCACAAGGCAGCAGCTCCCTTCCTGCTAATGTGGGGTCATGAGCTGAGGTGCAAGGGAGCACAGTGGGTCAGTGGGTCTGCCTCTGCAGCATGCTGGCTGCTTCCACCCAAAGACCTCTAAACACTTCACAAACATTTGTTAGCTGGACTTGATTAGTTCCAATTTACACACAGGAAAAATCTAATCACTAGAACACACTCTCTCCTAGAGCTGGGAAGAGAACCCAGGTGTGCCGATTCCCTGTCCCACTTCTCAGCATTAAACTACCTCACTTTGGCTACTAAGTAGCAACCATTCCATCCCCTGTCCCCCCCACGCACTCTTTAGATTTCCTGTTTTAAACTGCATTGTAAGTAAGCAAAACCAGAAGAGCAGCTGCAGCCATTTGGAGAGCCTCTGCACAGCCACCTCCTGATGGGAGGGAGCAAAATGCAGCAGCAACTAGCCCAAACTGACTGCCCAGAGGAGTCTGAAGATAAGAGCAGGCAGCTTAGCCGAGCTAAACCAGCATAGAAGACAACTGAATCCAAGTGAAATGAGTTCAGTGGTTGCTGCCTAACACCTGGAGGACACCAGATCGTGTCTGTTTGCCTCTCCTATTAATGGGAGGTTTGGATCAGACTCTGGACAAGCTGGTTTGACAAGCAACTGGCTCAGTCACCCCTACAAAAGATGGGATCAAATCCCTCCCCCCCCCCAAATCAATTGAAGCATTTAAAAAAAAATCACCCCAGGGACACAATGGGGAAGGGAAACTGGCAGTCACCAAATGCACCACAGCCTCACAGGCCTTGGGGCTTGCCCTTACTCATTTTAGTTGTACCTTGCTTAAGTGTATCTACGCAGGCAGTTATGCCAGCGCAACTGAAGTGATCACATAGGGCATGGAAATTTCCGTGTGGGCTACAATGTCCAGATGAGAAAATAAAGAGCAGCCAGTGCTTGAACCATGCTGGGGGTAGTGGGAGGGGGCAAGGTTTCATTTAACCTGGCTTGGATGGGGTTTGCTGCAAGGATGTCAGTCTTCTCAGCATATCCCACAACACACAGGAATGGGCTAATTAGCACATGCCTTCTTCCCAACCAGGAAGTAAACACGTAGCTGAGATGAGACCGGCTTTTATCAAGCAAGAAGCACCTCCTTGGGTGAGCCCAAGATCCTCCCTCTCTGCAGCTAACAGGACCTTTGATCCTCTGCTATAGACATCTTGTTCAGTGGCTTCTGTTCCCCTCCAGGTTCTCTTCCTCCTGTACCATTATTCATTACTGCATTCAACTCTGGCCTGCATCCAGGCTGTGGACCAAAGTTTCAGCTATTCAAGCAGCTAAGACACCCATACACATGCTCTTTGATTTTGTGATGGAAACATCCTGACAATGTAAAGCGTAACAGGAAAAAGGAGCAATTAGCTGAACTCAGTTACCAGAAGCCAAAGCAAACAGGTTCAATACGGTGCGTCTGCACCACGCGCTGACGTGCAGTTACGTCTTCAAAGACAAAAGGCACCAAAAGCTGTAGCAGAGAAGCAACAGAGATGCAGGATAAGGACAGTGCCTCTTCAGGAATTTACGTTACAGAGTCATTAAAATTCATGCTGCTTTGGTCATAGACCGTACAAAGCAGACAGGCTAGCTGCACATAAGGATTTACATTCGGAAACCAGCCACATCAAGAGACTCGTAGTTGTTCCCAAGCAAGACTCCAACCCACAGAAGAGGTGGGACCTAGGCTCCCCTCTACATAACTGATTTTCCTCAGGTAAACATCTCATGCAGCCAAGCCATCCACTTGGTAAATTAAGCTTTGTGCTTTGGTGGATGAAAAGAACATTTCTTTTTTTTCCTTTTGATGTAGAACCCCCCTCCCCTTCCATTTTTCCTGGCAGCCGCTGAATAGGCCGAAACTCAAACTTTGCACTGTAATGTGTGTTTCTGTATTGCTCTGACTGTTCACCCCACCCGGAACCCCAACTTTGCATTTCCCGCAACTCTGAGCGGCAAATGGATTGGAGCGGCTTCTTCCCCCCCACCCCCGCCCCCGTTCCCACTTGTTCCGTTTACTTGGCTCAATTGTAGATTCCCTGGTAAACGACCATCATATTTCACTGGGAACAAAAAAAACCCCTGAAAGCCTGAACGAGAGAACATGGCCCCAGGGGATGGAAACATTTCCTGCCTAGTCGCTAGCTACAGCCTGGTTTGGGCAGGGGGGTCTCTAGACTAGGGGATGGGAGCTTTCCTGCATGGCAGTACTTACAACCTGGCTTGGGAGGCGTACAGAGAAGGGACAGAACCTTTCCTGTATGATCACTACTTGCACTCTTGCTTGGGGGTCTGTGGGCCAGGGAAGGGAATCTTTCCTGCCTGGTCACTAGTTGCAGCCTGGTTTGGGGGGTCCATGGACCAGGGATGGGACCTTTCCCCTATGGTCACTAGCTACAACCTGCCATGTGGAGATCTATAGGCGGTGGGGGGAGGAGGAGGGGAGATCTTTCCTGCCTGGTCACCAGTTGCAGCCTTGTTTGCAAGGGGTGGGGGGAATCTATGAACCAAGGTCTATGGACCAGGGATCACCAGTTGCAGCCTGGTTTAGGGGTCCATGGGACCTTTCCCCTGTGGTCACTAGCTACAAACCGGAGTGGAGATCTATGGGGGATGGGGGGGGGCGGGAATCTTTACTGCCTGGTCACCACCTGCAGCCTGGTTTGGGGAGATCCAAGGACCAAGGTCTATGGAGCAGGGATCAGAATGGACCTTTGTCCCTTGGTCACCAGCTATGACCTGGCATGGAGATCTACGGGCCAAGGAGGAGACTCTTTCCTGCCTGGTTTGGGGGTCCACGGACCAGAGGATGGGACCTTTCCTGCCTGGCCACCAGTTACTCCTGGGGAGGGGACCCATCTGAAAAGAAAAAAAAGACCCCCTAAACCCAGGGAACTTCCCATCTTGAGGCTGCCAGTCCCAGGCCGGCGGCGGCAGCGGCGAGCCACCTCCGCAGCCCGCCGTCCCCTGTGCCAGCCGGGCGGTGGCCGGGCTGTCGGCCGAGCCCCGGGCGGGCGACACTCACGTGTCTCCATCCTCCGAGATGTAGGCGAGCGCCTCCAGCTGCTGCTGGCTCAGGCCGTGCAGGGCGGCGCGCTCGTCGGGCGGCGGCGGCGCAAGGCCGGGCAGGGGCTCGGTGA